CACAACCATCGCATAACGAAAGTCAGCTTAAAGCACAATAATACACTGCTCAACAACGTTACGCCTCCCCCCCTGCACAAATATAATAATAAAATTCCCCCCGCGCACAAAAAATAATACACCCCCCCACACTTAAAATAATATACTGCCCCCTTATTAACCCTCCAAACATAAAAAAATACGCTCCCCCCTTATTAACCCTCCACACATAAAAGAATATACTCTCCCCCTTATTAACCCCCCCAAACACATAAAATAATACACTTCCCCCTTATTAACCCCCCCACATAAAATATTACACTCCCCCTTATTAATCCCCCCACATAAAATATTACACTCCCCCTTATTAACCCCCGCACATAAAATAATATTTAGATTTAGGCGGTCTAGCCCTAAAAAGTGATATGTCTTACATAGAATCATAAAAAATATAAAAATAAAATTAATAGTACAATAGTGCTGTGGAAAAACAGAAAATGATTGGGACAATTACTGTTTGTATTTACTGCGCACAATTTACTGCGCACACATTTACTGTTTGTAACTTTTGCTGCTTCTGTTGCTCACATACATTCTTTCGGCCAGAGCTCAGAACTGTCAGAGCTCCGGCCGAAGCCAGAGCTGACAGGAGCTGCAGACCGTGGAGCTTCTCCCGCAAGTCAGGTACGGGGTCTGCGACCGTGTGCCTGACATGTCAGCTGGCTGCGGGCCACATAGTACCGCCTCGCGGGTTGGAGTTCGGCCGCGAGCCGGTACTTGGAGACCCAAATTTTCCTTATTTTTACTCGCAAAATGCGAGCAGGTGAGTGGAAATTTTGAGCCCTGCATCAGAGTGAATTAAAGTAGCGCACCAATAAGAATACCCAGAGTTGTAGATACTTCATATTATTTGCCAGAAGTATTATTTGGCTAGTCCCCCATAATACTCTAGGAATTCTCACTGTTCCCCAACAGTAAAGTAACACAGAAATATACAGTATAGTTTAGAGCCTAAAGCTAAAGGGTCATCAGAGTATATATACTTGCCTTAAGTCAGAAAGTCCACACAGAGTGCACAAGGGAAGGCGCTGCGGTTTAGCTGAGTCCAATAAGTCCACGCAGAGTGCACAAGGGAAGGTGCAGCGGTTTTAGCTGTGTCGGAAAGCCCATACTGAGTGCACTTTGGGTGGTCTGTATATTCCAGGAACTTATACCTTCAGGATGGAGAGCGGTGAGGTAAGTATAATTCCAAATTCTTTTATTTTAAATTCACAGACAACAACACATATACAGGTCATACATACATACAAACACAAATTCCCCTATACTGCTAACATTCCGGTCTTCCCCTCCACCCCAAGTCCATCTTGCTTCATATCTCGTCTCTCAGGCCATTATACATCATCCAAGGAGACCAAATTAGCTCAAATTTTTGTTCATTGTCATGAAGTATGCTGTTCATCTTTTCATGTATCATTATCCATAACATTTTTGACTTAAATTGTTTAAAGGGGGTTTTGTGAGATGCCATTACCCTCTCGAGGGCTCAACACCACCGCCATCTTAGTCTTGCCGCCGTCTTAGCGCCCTGCGCCTCCTTCTTTTTAGGTGGTCTCCCGGTCATTGCTGATTTTCAGTCCGGTGATGGGGGACCCCCCGGCTGCCTTCTCTGTTTGCTATAATCTACCCGCTCGTGTTCGTTACGGGAGCGGAGGTTCAGTTCCGTACTAGGTGCGAGGCTCACGGACCGGACATCCGATCCGCCTTACTCCGCGTGAATGCGCCCCCGGTGAGGTAAGTATAGAGGGGTTTTACTTACCGAATGGAGAGCGATGTGGTTGTGGGAGTGGAAATACTCTGCATAAGCCACATTGCTTGAATGCTCAGTGTTTCAAACTTCCTGGCTTTAAGCCGACTAGAGAGAAGCAGCAGTGTGACACAGTGGGACCCGATTGGTCAGTAGGCTGTGCTGAGCTCCTTTCCCAGAAGACCGGGTAATTATATTACACAGAGGCTGCAAAGCAAGCCCAAATCAGGATGTTTCCTTCACCATACTTCACCGTTGGGGATGATGTTTTGATCTTGGTAAGCTGTGCCCTTTTTGCACCATAACATAGTGCTGAGTATTCTTCCCAAACAATTCCACTTTTCTTTCATCGGTCCACAAAACATTTTGCCAGTAGCATTGCAGTTTGCCAAGGTGCTCTTTGCCACACTTCAGACGCGCAGCAATTTCATTTCAGAAAGCAGCAGTTTCCTCAGTGGTAATCTGCCATGGGCACCCTGCCAGTTCAAAGATTTACAGTTCCAGTGATATCTTCAAGCCTTTAGCTGTTACTCGTGGGTTCTTCTTTACCTCACTGAGGATTCTGCGTTGTGCCTTGGGAGTCATCTTGGCTGGGCACCCACGAGTAAGAGTAGCCACAGTACTAAACTGTCTCCATTTATAGACAATTTGTCTAACTGTCGACTGATGGATACCTAAACACTTTGAGATTGCTTTGTATCCATCTCCAGCCTTATGCAGATCAACTACTCTTGATAACTTCAGAGAGCTCCTTTTTGTGAGGTATGGTTCACATCAGTTGATGCTTCTCATGAACATCAATCTTAAAATCTTTGAGTGTCTTTTATCAATCAAAGTTGTTTTAAACCATACCTCTAAACTCGTTTCATTAATTGGACTCTACGTGTGCAAGCTACTGACTCCCATTGGCTTTCGTTGAAGTAATTAATCTATGGTTTCACTTACTTTTTCATGCAGCACTGTGAATGTTTAATGGTTGTGTTCAATACACGAGAAATTAGAATTGTTTGTATGTTATCAGCTTAAGCACATTTTGCTTTTCTATTGTTGTGACTTAGATGAGGATCAGATCACATTTTATGTCAAATTACTGCAGAAAATGAGTTAATTCCATGGGCTTCACATACTTTTTCTTGATACTGTATTTTAAAACGGGCTCTGAAATACTATTAGATTTTATTTAATAAAATATAATACATACCCCCACACTAACCACCAATACTTGAGGGCGATTTTCCAGTGACAACCAAAAGATTACATCTACAGTGACCATTAATGTTAGTGCACACCACATGTTTACCATCTGCATTTTATTATTATTATTGTGTATTTAATTCCAAGTTTGTTACTAAAAAATGTCATATACAGCAGGTGGATGCTAAAATGGTCTACCCTAGCTGTCAGATACTGTAGGTATGCCACATTATTTATTATTTTATTTAAAATGTTCTACATTTAACTGATCATACTAATATACTATGATATGTAGCTATAATAATTAGCGAGTGTTCCCCAAGACCTTAAAATTATTTCAAGGGTTTCTGGGTAGTGAAAAGGCTGAGAAAGGCTGGTCTATGGCAATGCAAAAGAAGCTTGAAGAAGCTTAGAAAAAGGTCAAATGCAAGCCAGAAGGAAGTCAGAAGCAGCTGTAAAGCAACTCATAATGATCTTTAAGGGCCTGTTCACACTATATCCAATGTGTTCCGGCATGGTTAGTGGCTGGAACGCAATGGATCACATAGAGCAAGCCTCCCTGCATTCTGGGGCAATTAATGTTAATGGCACCACAGACACGCCTCCCGCCCATAGTGAGCTCGCCAGCACCAGGACGCATGGTATAGCAATGCCTATTTTTTGCAATCGCACCACACCAGAACACAGGGCATTGCTATACCACGCATTTCCTATGCGGGCAATCGTACTGTGGGTGGGGGGCGTGTCACAGGTATGAACGGGCCCTTAAGCCGATAGTCAAGCAGAATGAAGCTGAAAGCAGGCGGCATTTGCCCGTATACAGAAGCCCTTATACAAATCAGTTGCCTGCTGCTGTATTTTGCCTTGTGACCTGACACAAAGTTACAGCATTACAATTTAGGGCCCATTCACACCACTCTGTTGCAGTAATGCATGTTACGCTTGTTGGTGCACTAGTACCATTCATTGTAAACGGCACCCCAACGAACCTTCCCAATGCGATCTACTTTATATGCAGAACTACTTTTACAATGTGAAGACAGCAAAAAAAGGAGAAAGTAGAGTTGGTTTCATGTTTTCTGAACTATAAGGATCATTCTGACTCTCCTACAGTTCTCTTGCTGCATTTAGCCACAAATGGCCAAAAGTGAGATATGATTCAAGAAAAAACATTTTTATAATGTGTACATTTTCAGACTTTGTGTTACACCCTGCTGCCTTAGGCACTGCTCAACAAGTGCCATTATGGTAAATACAGCCCTGTAAGTGATCACTGAAGGAGGAAAAACTGAAGAAATGCTACCTCCTGCCTACAACAGACAAGTGACATATTTCTCTGAACATCATCAATATTCCACGTATCTCATTAGCATGATAGCCTCATTATGGAATTATTTTACAGTATCATTTAATAAATTCTTTCATTAACTTTAAAAAAAAAAATCAACATAAACAGAAAAGCTGATGTGTAAAGTGCAGAAACCCATATAAAACAAGATTTAAGCTTACCAAATCAGGACAGTGTCAAATTAATTGTAAGTGGTTGATGTGAGATACTGTAATTTCTGTTTGTCTCTGGAGAAGCTTGTGGCACATAAGCTAACAATGATTGGGGACTTTTTCTGCAAACTGTACTGTGGTAAAATTGTGTAATCCAAGGTTTACATACAGTAAATGAACAAGATCAGAATTTTAACCAGTAAATGTAAGATATATTTAATATCATATCAAAGGGAATTTTAAAAAAACAGGTCCCGTGTTTGCAGAAGAATGGAACAAATAGTAACATTAGCTAGTTAATCAATCATCAACACTATCGTGGTATGCTGCTAAATTAGAAATGCACTTTAACCAAACAAATAAGCAAACATGAACCATTGCTGTCAACCCAATTATATAAGCTACAGTTTATAACTATTACATGTATAGAAATATTGTACTGCTCTCTACACCAAACCAAACAAATTTTACCAAACAATGGAAACAAAGAGACTGGCATGAGGGTATTTTAGTAGTGCACTTAAAAGTGTCCCAGCCTAAATAAACATCTAGTTTTGAAAGGCATTCCGAAGCATCTTAGACACAGGAAGTTCCTCCAAATTCCCATCTGAGCCAGATGCTCCTGCAGGCATGTTGGCCACCACTGTCTGTTTACATAAATATTGTAGAGACACAACTTTACAATTTAGTGGTTGCCTAAGCATTAGAGGGACAGGCTGTTCCTTCCCTTCAATGTAGCACAAAGTAGAGTCAGTCTCCCCTGCTGCTGTCAATCTCATGTAATGCTCAACCAGCTTAACCACGCATGGAAAGGTTGGGGGGCTCTCTGTTCCTGCCACCGTCTCTAGGTAGAAAGAGGTGCCCTCAAGTTTAATGCGCAGGTTGGTAATTCCAGCAGATGTACGAAGACTCAGAGTAAACAGGTGATGATGGTCTGAAGAGTCACGAATGAGAAAGGACCCAACAGGCTGGTTGGATAGAAGTTTTTTGGCATCAGTACCAGAAAGAGTGCTCCAGTAGTAGCCACTAGCCTCCAACCTTTCGAGCGCTGTTTCCACCCTTTCATAGTCCCCACAAAAAGACTTGTAGTGGTAGGAGAGCTGGGCATCCTGTGAGCTCATGGCTGCAAGGAAGAATGATGGGCAGAAACAATGATGGAAGGAACTCCAACAAAGTATTACCATCGTCAAGCTAATAAACTTGAACTGATGCACTTTGTGAGAAGGAAGACCAAGGCTGATCCAGGTATGACTTCTGCACTATGATTAGTGCTTACCGCTGTCCATCTTCTTCACTCACCTGTAAGGAACATTAAACAAAAAAAAAATATTACCTTATGAAACAATACCTCTTTATTAAATTGTCTGCTATACTTTTTAAAACTTTAAGTTCACCCCAAATTGCAGATTAGTGTTAATTTGACTGCTATCTTTGCGTTCCAAGCCAGTGGATTTTGCCTCTGAATATGTTCTCCATCATAGTCATTAGTACTGAACTTGGTCTTTGAGCTTTGTGCATCAGTTCTTGCACCTAAAGCCCTGGATGTAAACATAAGCAGTCAACAGGACTAATGGGAGAAACATGGAGTATGAGAAAACAAATTATTACCAAAACAACTTGTTTTTTTCTTTGATATTATGTGAAAATTAAAAAGGCATTCAAATGGTTGCTAGTTAAGCAACAGCATCACTTTTGTTAGTTTGCCGTAGTTTTGATAACTTAGACCTGAAATCTGTAACTCCAGCCAAAATAACTTGGTTTTGGTTAGAGTGGAAAAAAATGAAAAGGTTTTGTTATTGCTCGAGAGGTAAAATACTTAAAAGATCCGTGCTCCTAATCTAAAAAATAAATAATTAGTAAAAAGCTGTCTTTCTCCCCACTGGGGTAGATCTCCCTAATTTCTTGTCCCAGTGATGGTGAATACTAAAAGAGTAATGAGGGGACATCTCTCCAAAATAGATGCAGACAACAATAAAAACACATTTTTTAAGTAAAGTAAGAAAGAGTCTGTTTTGACCGCTTTGTTAGTTCCCCTCTCTACCTGTTCCAGATCAGAATAAAGGCCAATGGAGAGTCTAAACTTTCCCCATGGTATCCAGGAAATAACTTTTGGCTAAAAAGCAGTACTGATTACATAGGTGAAAATTAATCTTCTAATTCATATCAATAAGATCTAATTGTTTTCATGTCTATATGGCACTGGAAATGCAGTTTAATTGATAACAGAACATAAACAAAACTTAATGAAAGAAAACCGATAATACAAAATTAGAAACCTGTGAGAGGAATTTGTCAAAACTGGATCATACAAAATATGGAGCAGCTGTGCATGCAAACCAATCAGCTTCTCTCTTTCATTTTCAAATCTTAACTGAACAAACTGGAGAAAAATTAAATGGTTTCCATGGGCACCTGCTCCAGATTCTGTCTGTTCCAGTTTTGATAAATCCCCCCCTATGTTGTTTACTAATAACAGCTTGTGAACATATCAGAAAGATATCAGCAAGATCTCATAATTATCAAAGACCAAATGGTTCCCACTAATCAATGTCATTAAAGAGTCCAGATGGAACACGTTGCTTAATCAATGGTCAAGAAAAGCCATAGCCTTTGTATTTATATAGAAAAATATAAATGTTTTATTAACCCCCCAAAAGGGCCCCAATCACATATAAATGCAAATATCAAATTCTATAAAATATATTGGTCCCCATGAACCACCCCCCCCCTCCCACATAAAACAAATAATAAATGAAAAAACAATCTGGCTCAATGTGCATTCCTGATGATTATTCAGGTGTAAGATAAGTAATTACTTATCCCCATCCACTTGGGATGGAAGCATGTGTATACATAAGCAGCCAACTTGGATATTTATGTGTCCACATAGGTGGAATCCATTCCTTCAAGAGGGCATATTGTAGAAACAAAATCCACTGAAAAGACTTTAGGTGGTGGAGTGCCGTTTGATAAATAGAATTTCCAGAGATGAATTTAAATATCAGGAATAACTTCATAGGAGTATGGTGGTGACACCCTGTGCTTCCTGAGGTGCTTGATACTACAAGTACCCTGTTACACAGTATCCATATGAATTATAATTATAACTGTAACTATACTGTCTCCTCCATTTTGTAAAGTGCTGCGCAAATTGTTGGTGCTATATAAATCCTGCATAATAAAAACAGCGTTCAAACATTGTACTTAATATACACTTGTTTGTTTGTTTTTCACCAAAGATATGTAGCAGAATATGTTTTGGCCTAAATTTATGAAGAAATATTATTTATGTGCAATGTTTCATCGCTTAACAGAGGGAAAACAGGTTTTGTTTTCAAAATTTTCGGTAATTTGTTTCCTTTTTATATAGTAGAAAAAACAAAACCCAGGCTATTAAATACCACCAGTTGGCTTCAATACTTTCAGTCAATGACCTGGAACAATTTTAGAGGTAAGAAATTCTTACCTTCTCAGACTTTAATTTGCTGCATGCTCTTTTCTGGTCTTAATTACACCCTGCTTGTTCTAGGTCTGTGACCAAAAGTACTGAAGCCAGGCACAGCATGGCAACTATCTTTTTGAGGAGGCCAGCAATTACAGTCCACATATTTCTCTTATGCCAGGTATATTTTAACATAACCTGCATGAATTAGAATAAGGGTTTTTGGGAAATAAAAATGGGTTCAGGTCTGTTGCTCCCTCACACCCCCCCCCCCCCCCCCCCCCCACACACACCAAATGTTTACCTTATTAAGTAGCCACAAGTTCTATAACAAGGTTTGTTTTTATGGCAAAGTCAAAGTCTCAGCCGATATGGTTACAATTTGGTATTCGGTTACAATATGACCACGTACAGAAGATGCAAAGATATGTACATAATTTAAAGGAATTGAAATAACTTCCAGATTAACATAGACAGCTCATGTATGTAGATGTTATTTTCTCAAGATAATTGTAAGGGTAAAAAGACGAGGAGTAGAAATTCAGAAACAAGATGAGGTAAAAGTGAAATAAAGTAGATAGATGTGTAGGAGGCAAGAGGTGGAGTGGGCGGTGGTAGGGGGCTATCTAAATGCACTGCTCTGTAATGCTGAGCAGACAGGGGGATCATGTCAGACAAAAATGGCTTGGAACTTCATTCACACATTAGTGTTTTGCCGGGTGTATCTATAAACAAAAAAAGCAATACATTGTTATGCGGCTCATTCACACCTATGCGTTCGTACACGAGCACAAAAACGTAGATCGCGGCAATAAGTACATGTGTGATTTTCTGGACGATTTCAGCACATTCTATCCCCCAAAAGAGCGACGCTGTAGCTGCAAACGTGCAGAAAAATGTGCGTCTATTAAAATGTTAGCATTTTTGTGCTTGAAAAACGTGCTGAATTCAAAATGCTATGTGTGAATGGAGCCTTAGAAAACGATGCCACGATGCCTAGATATTTCTGGAGTGTTCTATCTATAACCAACTAATAAAACCGCGCTTAGGCATGATAGTAGAATAATCGGTATCAGCTACAATTGTCAAGTAAATTACTCTCAAATGATGAATGCACTGCGCTAAACCTTGAAAGTTATTTTTCCAAACCTCAAATATAAAGTGTCAATGTGCAATATCAAAAAATAGTATACTTCTCAACCAATTATTTTTATATAAATAAAAAAACTTGTGTGCCAACAAGCACCCAAATGTGCAATTCTCCTAAAGTGCAATAAAACTGCATATAAAGTCAACAATATAAAGCATGAATAATGTGTTAAAATTGCTCGAAATCCATATTCTAGTGTAGACTCTCTCCTTCCCCCAATAAATTATTCATCAAGGTGCATACAGTGTATATGGATGTAAGAAAGTGTCATCTTCCACCGAATATTTTGGCATGCAAAAAGTTTTCTTCAATCCACCGTGATCCAAACAAAGCCTTTTGGAAACGCACTTACCAGAATTTTAGGGCTACCCTAAATAGGATGAGCCATAAATGCTTTATTGCTGATGTTTCTCCTCTCCGTTAGATCTCCATAGGGTAAGATAAAGCTCACTCCTCTCAACTCTCTCCTATCCTGCAGCCTCGATACCTCGTGGTTCCAAGCTCAAACAGAAATTGAAATCCCTCTCATGGTATAATATTTCACAGTTCAATATTTATTGGAGAATAAAAACTAGGGGTGTATCGAAATTTCGGCCGACATGTGTCGGCGAAATGCCGAAAGTGCCGTCTTTCAGCCAAAATTGCGGTGCATCCATAGTTTCTCTCCTCCCCACTGTGCACTGCTCTGTGTCCCCTCTGACACAGCAGGGAGGAGAGAAACCGAATTTAATGGAGCAGATAATTAGTGGATCCATGAAGAGGGAGGTACAGCTACATCTATTTGATATATAGCAGTCCCTAGATAAAAAGGAAAGTGGGAGGAATCTGGGAAGGTGGGATGTGAAGGGTTGGAGATACATGGGCTGAGAGGGTAAAATGGAGGGAAAACTAATAGAGAGAAAGCAAGAAAAAGTGCAAGAAGAGTAGGTTGGGCATAGGAAGAGAGAATTCACCCAACAAATGTAAAAATATGTACAAAAATGGGAGAGGACCAAGATAAAAATTATACCTGGTCAAAGAAAACTAAGCAACAAAAAAACACACTCAACATGTAAGTACACACTGGAGGTGTGAAGCCTAAGGTAGGGGCGAGCTGGCCTCCGGGATGCATAGGAGCCAGTGGCTATTAAGAGCTATGGCTTTAGATTTTAACACCTCTCTCTGGGCAGGTTAATAACACCTCCTAGACTCCAATTATGCAAATTAAATCAACACCTGGTTGTGACTAACAGATTATGTGGCGACATTCACCATATTTATTCCCAGATCATTTCAAGTCATTCTGAATTGAGAAAGCTGGTTGGATGACCAGTGAAACATCTTCCAGTTGCCTTGACTTATTTTTTACAGATATGCCATGACCTGGATAAATGAGAACCTTCACAGACAAGTCCGTGCCGAATCAGGAAAGATGGAGAAGGCTTGTCGCACTCCTTACCGGATACCCCCGTTGTCAGGGAAGGGTGCTTGGAATGACTGCGGATGGTGCCGCAAGTTGCAAATCGTGTGAGAAACGTCACCAGCACACCAAAATCCTTTAAGGATCACCAATTGTAAATTTATTAAGAACTTATGTCAAATACACTGAGCATGCGCATAGCGTGGTCCGTCCAACACAACTGATGGAACACACGGCCATATTGCGGTCGAAGAGGCGAACTCAGTGGATCATTCTCTAGGCAACCGTCAATCCGACAATCTGG